GAGAGAGAGAGAGAGAGAGAGAGAGAGAGAGAGAGAGAGAGAGAGAGAGAGAGAGAGAGAGGGGTCTGAGAAGCAGCCTGTGTGATGGATGGAGTGAAGTGACAGTAGAGTATTACAGAGGGAGAGAGGACTCGAGTCTTGTCTGTAATGAAATTCCCCTGTCAGACATGAAACTGCTGCTGAGTCTGGAGAATACCGGTAAGTGCAGTGCCTTCGGAAAGTATTCAGACCCCTTGACCTTTTCCACATTTTGTTACATTACAGCCTTATTCTAAAATGATATTCCTCATCAATCTACACACAATACTCCATAATGACAAAGCGAAAACAGATATATTTCTTGTTTGTTGCAAAAACAGAAATACCTTATTTACATAAGTATTCAGACCCTTTGCTGTGAGACTCGCAATTGAGCTCAGGTGCATCCTGTTTCCATTGATCATCCTTGAAATGTTTCTACAACTTGATTGGAGTCCACCTGTGGTAAATTCAATTGATTGGATATGATTTGGAAAGGCAAACACCTGTCTATATAAGGTCCTACAGTTGACAGTGCATGTCAGAGCACAAACCTCTGAAAAAGTCATGAGGTCGAAGGAATTGTCCGTAGAGCTCCGAGACAGGATGGTGTCGAGGCACAAATCTGGGGAAGGTCCCCAAAAACACAGTGGCCTCCAACATTCTTAAATGGAAGAAGTTTGGAACCACCAAAACTCTTCCTAGAGCTGGCCACCGGAAAAACTGAGCAATCGGGGGAGAGGGAGGTGACCAAGAACCCGATGGTCATTCTGACATAGCTCCAGAGTACCTCTGTGGAGATGGGAGAACCTTCCAGAAGGACAACCATCTCTGCAGCACTCCACCAATCAGGCCTTTATGGTAGAGTGGCCAGACGGAAGCCACTCCTCAGTAAAAAGCACATGACAGCCTGCTTGGAGTTTGCCAAAAGACACCTAAAGACTCTCAGACCATGAGAAACAAGATTCTCTGGTCTGATGAAACCAAGATTGAACTCTTTGGCCTGAATACCAAGCATCATGTCTGTCGTACAGAGAGATCCTTGATGAAAACCCGCTCCAGAGCGCTCATGGCCTCAGACTGGGGCGAAGGCTTACCTTCCAACAGGACAACGACCCTAAGCACACAGCCAAAACAATGCAAGAGTGACTTCGGGACAAGTCTCTGAATGTCCTTGAGTAGTCTAGCCAGAGCCCGGACTTGAACCCGATCAAACATCTCTGGAAAGACCTGAAAATAACTGTGCAGCGACGCTCCTCATCCAACCTAAGAGAGTTTGAGAAGATCTGCAGAGAAGAATGGTAGAAACTCCCCAAATACAGGAGTGCCAAGCTTGTAGCGTCATAGCCAAGATGACTCAAGGCTGTAATCGCTGCCAAAGTACTGAGTAAAGGGTCTGAATACTTATGTTAATGTAATATTTCAGTATAAAAAAATATATATATTTGCAAACATTTCTAAAAAACCTGTTTTTGCTTTGTCATTATGGGGTATTGTGTGTAGATTGATAAGGGCAACAAAAATATTTAATCAATTTTAGAATAAGGCTGTAACGTAACAAAATGTGGAAAAAGTCAAGGGGTCTGAATACTTTCCGAATGCACTGGAGCTATACACTACATGACCAAAAAGTATGTGGACACCAGCTCGTCGAACATCTCATTCCAAAATCATGGGCATTAATATGGAGTTGGTCCCCCCTTTTGCTGCTATAACAACCTCTACTCTTCTGGGAAGGTAGGGCACTGATGTTGGGCGATTAGGTCTGGCTCCCAGTCGGCGTTCCAATTAATCCCAAAGGTGTTCGATGGGGTTGAGGTCAGGGCGCTGTGCAGGCCAGTCAAGTTCTTCCACACCGATCTCGACAAACCATTTCTGTATGGACCTCGCTTTGTGTACGGGCAAATTGTCATGCTGAAACAGGAAAGGGCCTTCCCCAATCTGTTGCCACAAAGTTGGAAGCACAGAATCGTCTAGAATGTCATTGTATGGTGTAGCGTTAAGATTTCCCTTCACTGAAACTAAGGGGCCTAGCCCGAACCATGAAAAACAGCCCCAGACCATTATTCCTCCTCCACCAAACTTTACAGTTGGCACTATGCATTGGTGCAGGTAACGTTCTACTGGCATCCGCCAAACCCATATTCGTCCGTCGGACTGCCAGATGGTGAAGCGTGATTCATCACTCCAGAGAACACGTTTCCACTGGCGGCGAGCTTTACACCATTCCAGCCGACGCTTGGCATTGCGCATGGTGATCTTATACTTGTGTGCGGCTGCTGGGACATGAAAACCCATTTCATTAAGCTCCCGACGAACAGTTTTTGTGCTGATGTTGCTTCCAGAGGCAGTTTGGAACTCGGTAGTGAGTGTTGCAACCGAGGACAGACGATTCTTACAAGCTACGCGCTTCAGCACTCGCCGGTCCCGTTTTGTGAGCTTGTGTGGCCTACCACTTTGCGGCTGAGTCGTTGTGGCTCCTAGAAGTTTCCATTTCACAATAACAGCACTTACAGTTGACCGAGGCAGCTCTAGCAGGACAGGAATTTGATGAACTGACTTGTTGGAAAGGTGGCATTCTATATGATGTTGCCACGTTGAAAGTCACTGAGGTCTTCAGTAAGGCCATTCTACTGCCAATGTTTGTCTATGGAGATTGCATGGCGGTGTGCTCGATTTTATACACCTGTCAGCAACGGGTGTGGCTGAAATAGCCGAAACCACTAATTTGAAGGGGTGTCCACATGCTTTTGTGTGTATATATATATATATATATATATATATATATATATATATATATATATATATATATATATATATATTACAAAGCTACCAGTAACAGGTCCAACCATGCTGTAATGTTAGTAAGATGGGATAGGCATCTTACAAATTATTTGCCACGGATATAAAGCGCTCCACACATCATTGTTGTTTTAACAGTAAAAAAAAAAAGAAAAAAACGCTGATCACAAAAGTTATTGCAGTTGATATGCAGCCATTGTCAATAGCCTACTTGAGTTGCGATGTAATTTGCTAAATTAAGGACTACAAGCGCCATTTGAGCTGGGATTTATACTAAAACAGGTGTCTTTCTCATCAATACTAAGTTCAACGTTTACCCCCGTTTCAATAGTGTTGTTCCCTCTATAATGCGAGTTAGTTAACAGCATTAGAAAGCAAACATTTGTCCCTTTTCAACCAACAGATAGGCTACATGAATTTGGCGCGTTTTACTTTTTCCTATGTTTGATTTGTGAGCTTAAAGTTTGTGGACAGGCTTTTGTTAAATATGAAACAAAGTAGTAGGGGGGGCAATTCGCCAAAATAATTCGCCAAAACGACACAAATAGAGGAGAGGCATTTATTATTCCAAACTGCAGCTCATGGTTGGAACACATATTTCCCAACTTGCCGGTGGTGATGCAGCTCACTTCCCCTGTCTGAAAAATGTGTGCGCGACCCAACATGTGGCAGACATGAAGCGGTTCAAAGATAAAATAACGGGACTGTTACGGGAGTTTGAGCAACGCTTTCAGATTTATGTTTATATGTTTTTATGTTGATGTGCTATTGTTTTTAATTGTTTTTATTTTATTTGTATATTTAACCTATTCTTGACTCTGTGGTTCTTGCACTTGTTTGGGGAACAGGATTTCATTATTTTTATCTACATTTCTGCCTGAGAAATGACACCCTGATATAGTTATGTGATCTGTGATATACTTCTGTGAATCACTGAGGCATTGTGTGTTTGTGTGTTCTTTGTCCTCAGAACTTTCAAATAACTTGAGGTGTTTTATGATTAATAGTGATGTTGTGCTTTTGGACACTGTCCTCAGGCTCCAGCTTTATGTTTATATGTTTTTATGTTGATGTGCTATTGTTTTTAATTGATTTTATTTTATTTGTATATTTAACCTATTCTTGACTCTGTGGTTCTTGCACTTGTTTGGGGAACAGGATTTCATTATTTTTATCTACATTTCTGCCTGAGAAATGACACCCTGATATAGTTCTGTGATCTGTGAAACAGTTCTGTTAATCACTGAGGCATTGTGTGTTTGTGTGTTCTTTTTCTTTAGAATTTTCAAATAAACTTGACGTGTTTTATGATTAATAGTGATGTTGTGCTTGTACTATTTTGGACACACTGTCCTCAGGCTCCAGCTTTATGTTGTATGTTGATCGTATTAAAACAAAGAAAACAATCTGAAGTTGTTGTTTTTAAGTTATATATACCATGATTTTTCCGGTCCGGCCCACTTGGGAATAGATTTTCCTCCATGTGGCCCCTGAGCTAAAATGAGTTTGACACCCCTGGTCTACAGTTTTGTTTGTGTATCCCATCAGTTAGATACGTTTTTATAGGCAGTCATTTCTGCGCCGCACGCGTGTGTGTAGAGTGACAGACACATAACAGAGAGAAAAGAGAATGCAGGGAGAAGAACTGTGATCACTTGGCTAGGTTTCTTTTTTGTTGTGAGTCGCTAATGCACATAACAAAAGGAAGGAACACGAGTCAACGTGAATTAACGTTGGTCTTCAGGATAAAATGTAATCTGCCTGGAGTAGATTCCAGATGCCACCTGCTGTATTACTGCGGTATAACTTTATTTCCCCCTAGCGGTCATACCACGCAATATGATTTGACGTGGAATTTGATGAAGGTTTCTCATCGTTTTAACGGATAACCGTAAAAAAATTGTAGTTTAAACGTTAACAAAAATTGTCAATTTGTCACATCCAGACACATGATCACAATAAACGGCTTAGAAACCTCAGCATCAGCAATCTGCTCAATTTATCCCACAAGTCCACATGACCAAAGGTCCCCCCAATGCACTCCACAAGCATGGACTGGATATCTGAGTGTCGCTCATGTATGTCTCCAGTCCAGCTCCTTATGCAGACAACCCTTCCAGACATCTATCACAATCAATAGGGGCCAACCCACTGACCAGAAACCCCCTGACACACACATATCACAGTCTCACAGTGTGAACCATGAGTAAGACACTGGATAGACAATGACAAGGAGGAGAGAGGAGGAGCTGGCCTATTAGATCAGACAACAGCACAGTTCATTGTCCTCCAAGGGAGTATTATATTCAATATATGATTGATTGTCCGTCTCACCTGAGGCGTCCTCGAGGGACGTGTCCCAGAGGGTGTCCGTGTGCCCTCCTGACGTTCTGCTCGCCCTCGTGCAGATGACTGTGTAGCGAGGGAGAGTGGGAGTGGGAGGAGCGAGAGCTGCCTGTGCTCTGGAGACTGCTGTCTGGCACCTCTCCATGATGAGTCTGGAATACAACACACAGTCTCTCAGTCTCTCAGTGTCTCTCTCTCTCATTCTCTCAGTGTGTCTCTCTCTCTCTCTCTCTCTCTCTCTCTCTCTCTCTCTCTCTCTCTCTCTCTCTCTCACTCACTCACTCACTCACTCACTCACTCACTCACTCACTCACTCACCTCCCCCAGGCTGGCATGTTGTTGGTGTTGTCCCAGTGCAGGCAGGCTCCTCAGAGAGGGGACAGGAGACTGACCCTGTCGACCGTGGCCCTGCACCAGACCGTGACCGCTGTCCCCGTTGAGGTTGTTGTCACTAGCGGAGCGCATCAGGGAGCGGGGCGAGGGCAGTCCTCCCACCAACACACGTCTACGGTTAGTGTAGGAAGGGGGTCTCCCTGAAAGGCACTGTTAGAGGGTGACACAACATGTTGTTAGTCAAATCAACATAACAATGTGTACAGGGGTTGGGATAAATGCGTAACACATTTCAGTTGAATGCATTCAGTTGTACAACTGACTAGGTATCCCCCTTTCCCTTTCTACATTCCCTAAGGTAGTACCTCACTACATAGCTTTATGTGTACATCTTACTGCATTGGATTAGGAATCTGGGATATTCTTTCCTTCAAACACTAGATGGCAGAATTTTCACACGTAGCAAATTGACTCCCAGTAAACTGAATCACACAACGAAAGTGCACATGATCAGGGATAATTACTGAGTGGGTGATTACAGTGGCTACAGTAACGAGTGCTTCAGTCACTTGGCTGAGGACTCTCTTACCCTCTCGCACCACTATGGAGGTGTGATTGACTCAATTAAAGTCCAGTGACCACATGCTGTTAGCCACATACCACATGGCATGTCGTCTACTCACCAACGTCTGACACTTTGTGGATCTTGATGATTTCAGCCAGGTCAAAGTTTCCTGCTATAATGGCAACCTGGAGGAGGAGAGAGGGAGTAGAGGGGAGGGAGGGGGAAGAGAGGGAAGGAGAAAAGAGTGGCGGGAGGGAAGGAGAGGAATAAGTCACATATGTTGTGTGTTTGTTCCTTTCCCAAAGAGAGGTTAGTATCCTGCTTCTCAACACAAGTGTTCTGTAAAACAAGGCTCCCATAGGAAACTGCCATTCTCATGGGGGAGAACAGAACTCTGCTGAAACCTGCTGTCTCAGTCTCTGCGTCTGTCTGGAATAAACATTAGCCTCTGTTGTTTCAAGAAAATACATTTTGGGAACCAATTATCAGACGTATACTACATCTATTCTAACAGCTAACAGGCAACAGGGGAACACATTCCATCCAAACCCCACCTTCTCCCTCCCTCAACATCAGCTTTTATCTCTCCCATCTTCATCTGCATTACTCTGTGGTTCCCTCTCCAGTCTCTCTCTCTCTCACACACATACACAACAAAACTAGCATTTTCCTTTTGTTTGCTCTCTCTCTCTCTCTGATTCATATTTCACACATTAGTATTCCTTCATTAAAAGGCTGCTTGTAACAGATGTCTGATAGCAATGTGTGTTTCTGATTTCTGGCACTGTGTGAGCGTGTGCATGTGCTGTATAACTAGAATGTAATGTCTGATAGGGGCCAGCTGAAGGATGGAGAGTCTCACCTGAAAGGCTGTCTGGCTGTTGTAGTTCTTGATCTCTTTATTCGCTCCCCGAAACAGTAGAACTCTGGTACAGCTATCCTGAAAGAGGAAGAGAAAGATTTTATTTTATTTTATTTTTTACGATCAGTTGTAAAATGTCGGGATTTTGGTTGCATATAGATTGACAATTCATCAGCACATACACGAACAAGCACACACGCACAAACATGCACACAGACCCATAAACACACACACAGAAGATATATGAGGCTCCATTGAGTGCCAGCTCTATTCTCTAATTGGTCCCAACAGAGCTAAGTCTGCTATTTACTCTGACCAGAGAGAGAGACTTCCACTCCCTTTCCCTTCCTCTGCTTTCTCATCACCCTTCCCCAATCTCACCCTCCATTCATAGCCTAACATAGCGTGTGTGTTGCTGTGAATGTGTGTGTCATTAGGCTATATCATTGGGGCTGTGTGTAAATGTATAGTCCTCCCTGTCTCTCAGGAGGGATCCATGGGTTAAGGGAAGGGCTATGTGTTTGCAGGGTATAGATCGATATGTAATTTAAAACACAGAGTAGAATTAACAGCTCTATGATTGATCTTCTTAACCAAACATGTGGTTGCTCTCTCCCGGGACCCTATTGAGTCCTTATCACGCATGCACAAACACACACACACACATAGGAACGCACATCTCTGTTCAAATTACATCGATCTCACAGGAACCTATAGTCAGTGCTGTAGAGCCCACTTTTGGTGACAAACATGAAAGCAGTGCAACCCTGCCCTGAGTTGTGCATGTGCCTGCCTCCATGTTTGTGTGTCTGCTTCCGTGTGTGTGTGTGTGTGTGTGTGTGTTTTTCAGGTAAGCAGAGGTAGACATAAGGAATCAGCACAGCATCCTCTACCTAACAAGTCTGTTCAATAATGCAGTTCCTCTCCTGTAATAGCCCTATAATCACATCATGTTAATGCTAGCACGCTAAAAACCTAGAGTTGAATAAAATAAAATAAAATAAAGAATGTCACACGCGCCGAATACAACAGGTGTAGACCTTACAGTGAAATGCTTACCTACAAGCCCTTAACCAACAATGCAGTTTTAAGAAAGAATATCCCAAAAAAACAACAATAGCGAGGCTATATACAGGGGGTATCGGTACAGAGTCAATGTGCGGAGGCACTGGCCAGTCGAGGCAATTGAGGCAATATGTACACTACCGGTCAAAAGTTTTAGAACACCTACTCATTCAAGGGTTTTTCTTAATTTTTGCTATTTTCTACATTGTAGAATAATAGTGAAGACATCAAAACTATGAAATAACACATATGGAATCTGCGTGTGTCATTGTCTGCGTAATTGTGTGTGCATGTTCTTTTAATTTGGAATGGGTAGATGAAATGCGGTAGAAAACCCATGCATCAACTGCTGCCTCTGTGCTCTCTCAAACACACACACACGCAAACACACACACGCACCGAAACACACACACACACACTCCAGGAGACCAATTATAGAGAGGGACATCCCTCTCCCTGCTCACAGCACTTGTCATATTATAGGAAACCATTAAGCATCCAGAAGACTTTGTCACCACGTTTTTTTTTATCACGATGTACATTCAACATCAGCAGGTCAACTCCAGGAGTAGAGTACCCCTACAGTACAGTGGCAAAAAACTATGTATAGTAAAGCTGTGCATTTTACTAAAGTTTTTTCCAACTGCTTACACACAAAATCTTTTTATGTCACAAGATTTTTGAAACCTCTCTCAAAGTGCAAAACTACACACCAAATCTCCAAAACTATAAGCTATTTCTCAGCCTTTGACTCAGTTGTCAATTGCATAAAACACTTTTTTCAACAAAAAAAAAACACACAATTCTCTACCTAAAACACAAAAATCTAACAGGAAGTGACTAACTTTCCTTTTCCAAACACAACCAATCAAAATGCTACATTTATTCACCAGGTCACACACACACTCCGCACATGTGCAAACACTAATTGCTTAACTGATCACTAACCAATCACTGCTTTACTGTAGTATATGCCTATAAATAGGTCAAAGGTCAGATTACCTGTTTTGAACAATGGATGCCAACAATGGACAGAGAGCAAGAGGAGTAGGAGGGAGAGGCAGGGGACAACAACGAGGACAAATTCAAAGACGAAGAGTTGGAAGAGGAGTAGGAGGAAGAGGAAGAAGAGGACGAGGGCAGAGAAGAGAAGGAAGGAGAGCCATCTCTGATGAGATTAGGGCAACACTTGTTGATCATGTGATCAACCACTGTTTGACCATGAGAGAGGCTGGACTGAGAGTCCAGCCCAACTTGAGTCGATTTACAGTGGCGTCCATAATTCGAACCTTCAGAAATGAGAACAGGTATGCAACTATCTAATGACTATTTTAGCATTACAGTAATGTACTGTAAAATACGTATGATTGCATAAACATTTGTAACTCTAAGCCATTCATTTACTGCACTGCATTGAATGAATGAGGTTGGTTATCATGCTGTACTACATTTTGTTGTACATTGTTTACAGTTCCTATGCTGAACACATACTGTGTTTGAATTCTGTACAGAGTGGAAAGGCAAAGACATCATGGAGGACGAGGATGCTTGTTTACAGATGTACAAGAGACTGCAATTATAAATATGGTTTTAGCCAACAATGCAATTAGGATTCGAAAGATAAGAGAGCATATTTTGAATAATGACACCATATTTAACAACATCAATGCTGTAAGCCTGTCGACCATACAACGCATCCTCCAACGGCACCAAGTGACGATGAAACAACTTTACAAGGTGCCATTTGAGAGAAACTCTGACAGTCTAGATTCTGCGACATGACTTTGTAGAGGTATGTATGCAACAGTACTTCAGACATACCATATTTACTCATCTATATATCCTTTTGTCTGTTACAGAGAGTATTGGAGATGGATGCCCATGTAATTCTCCATTAATTTATTTACGTGGATGAGGTTGGCTTCAACCTCACTAAAACCAGGCGCTGCGGAAGAAATGTAATAGGACTGAGGGCAATTACCAATGTCCCTGGACAGCGTGGGGGTAATATAACTGTGTGCTGCCATCACTCAAAACGGGGTCCTCCATCACAATGCCACACTGGGTCTGTACAACACCGGCCATATGCTCACTTTTCTGGATGCAATTTACACAATGCTTGTCCCTGTTCCAGATCAGGAGCCTGCTAGATTTGTGGTTATATGGGACAATGTTAGTTTTCACCGGGCTGTTCTGGTCCAAAACTGGTTTGCCACCCATCCACAATTTGTAGTTTTGTACCTACCCCCATATTCACCTTTTCTAAATCCCATAGAGGAATTATTCTCAGCCTGGCGCTGGAAAGTGTATGATCGCCAACCCTATGCCCGCATGCCGCTTCTCCAGGCAATGGAGGACGCATGTGGGGACATAGAGGTTGCCTCTGTCCAAGGTTGGATACGCCATGCTAGGAGATACTTCCCTCGATGTTTAGCAAGAGAAAACGTATCTTGTGATGTGGACGAAGTATTGTGTCCAGACCCAGCCCGGAGAAGAGATGAAGCGTAGCTTAGCACTGGTGACTGAGATTTAGATTGAGAACAACAGTGTTTACATGGTATATCCAAACATTTACTATTATGAAATACGTTTTTGCCATTTGATGCAAATGCTTCATTCTGACATGTTTATGGCATTTTGAATGCAGTGTTACATTTTGAAGGAGATGTGAGGCATTTTGTGTGTGCAGTTTTGGGAATTGTGTGTAGAGTTTTGAAAACGTGTGTAAGCAGTTTGAAAAAAATAATCATTCAGGAGGCTCAGTTTGACATTCAGAATTCAACAGATTTCTAGAGGTTTCCATTGTCAAAATAATGTAAGATACAATCACATTTAGAATCTTCCCGATGCCATTCTGTTCCCTCTCCATGTCTTGTCTGACAGGTGTGTGATTCCACCCCCCCCCCCCCCCCCCCCACTTAGAAGCTCTGTCCCTGGGATTGATCTGCTCAGCGGTGGCCTCCTGGATCTCTAAACACTGGAGGGATGAAACCTGTCTTTGACGATAGGACCCTGCAGAGACAGGGTCTATGAAGGGGAGGAGTAAAACCTTTTTCCCCTAACTTGTCCATTGTTCCATGAATATTCATTAGCACGACTCAGAGGTTAAAATCAGTTTTGTTCAAGGTAACATGGTAGGCTACCAATTTTGAGGACATTTGGATCACCTAAAATATGACACTTTATGGCATTTTATTCAAGGTTGTGTGAGCCCTAATTCACTATTATGTCTTAAATGCACATCAACAGTTTCCAGTCTTTCCCTTCCACTCTCCTCCACCCCTCCCTCTCTCTCCAGCCAGTAGTAGAACATACTATCCTTAGTCACGTGCATGTGTAGCAAACAGCCAAGATTAAGTATTGATGTTCTTCTCCTCGACCCCCTCTCAGACACACTTTTTGTGCACTCATATGCATGTACACTCTCTAGAGACTGTAGTGTTCTCGAGCCTTGGAAACAGGTCATTGCGCATGAGTGTAGTCAGCGGAGTCACTCGAACACACACACTCACACACCATGCTGTTCACTTAGTGGTTAAGAGTACAGCAGGATTCTGGCACAGAGCAGCGGCCTTGGCCTTGCACTACACACTGGCCCATCACAGTGTGTGCGTCCGTGCGTGTGTGTCACGTTTAGGAGCATTGGCAGAAAGTGGATGTTCCTACAGTATTTTCAACCTAACTTGCGTTTCCCCTGAAAACCGGAAGTAGGGACTCCAAGTTGGTGTGTGTGTATGTATGCGTGTGTGTCAGTGTGGTGTACATTTCACAGACAGAAATATTTTATACAAAGCCATCCTCAGTAGATGTGGCCCATGTAGGAAGCAACCCAACAACTGTAGTACTCTGTTCTTAGCACCTGAGCCATGGCTTTTCAAGTAGTCACTTCAATTAGGCTCAGTCCCCAATCTCAGCACTCAATGTCTCAGTCTCTCACTGGATCCTATCTCATCTCTAAATCGCTCGCTACTATCAATATGACTCTTACATTGTCTCCATTGAATCTGACAGTCCGTCCACTCAGCAGCCTACTAGAACCAATACACTTCCTGAATTGACATATTGACCAGGTAAGTGATAGCAACATTTAAAAGGCAGCTGTAACACACACAGACATTTGTCGAACCCCTCTAAACCACCGCTTACTCACCACTACTTATCTGACGCACACACTTGCACACACAACACACACCATACAGTGTGTTACCTGGTTGTAGAGGGCACAGACGTGCAGGGCGGTGTTTCCAGAGGCGTTCTGGGCGGCCATGTCAGCTCCGTAAAACAGCAGGTGCTCCAAGTGCTGAACGTGACCATGACGACACGCCTTTATGGGGAGACAAACAAGATGGCCACCTTAGAGCCACATGGATGCTAGTTTGGGTGATTGAGGTATCATAAATTGTGTGATATTGGATACAACCCATTTCTCTTTCTGTTCTCTTCTCTGTTTCTCTCGCCCACACATGCACTATAATAATTGTTCCCTCTCTCTTTTGTTTTGTCTTATCTGTGTGTTACAGCAGCACACATTATGTTGGAATTGTTAATTATCCCTCTTCAATTGTTTTTCCTAATATTCTCACACACACACACACACACACACACACAATAAATACTAACAGAGGGAAGGTAACTTATTAGAGTATAGTAATTGAGGGCTCTGGAAAGCTGGCCTGTAGGCCCAGATTTAGTGTCAGCTTCCTCTCCCCCCAATTCAAACTGGGTAAGAGTTCCTTTCTCTCACACTCCATTCTCATCTCTCTCTTTCATTCTCTCACCAACAGCCTGTCAGTTTAGCCTGATTATACTGTAGGTCTCCAAGCCTCCAGACTAACCCTGCATTGAATTGTGTGGTGACTGTGTTTGGACAGATGTGGTAGGTTCAGAGGTTTAGACGGCACCATGATACCCCAGAAACAGAGGCTAGTGGTGGGGGAGAACAAGGCAGGCGGGAGGGGTAACCATGGAGGTCCCCAGACATGCTGGTGTGAAGAGGAGAGGAGAAGAGAAGAGAGAGCAGTGGGAACATTGGAACACTGTGGACACAGTACTGTTGACAGTTCTAGTGCTACAGTCCTTTAAGGTTTATATAATGGCAGGGTTTTATCAAGCCTTGTAGTGCTGCTTCCATTCCCTCCATAGAAAACCTTATGAAGTCTACAGTGCTTTTGTGCCCCATCAAATTAGGAAATTAATATTGTATGTCTCCCTATTTGCTCTTCCCTTACATTTTCTTCCTCATAAAACCAACGGGAAGGTTTCATCACAATTTCACAGTCTCAATCTACAGTAGTGTCCGTGTCTGGGAAGAGCAGTCGCTCTCTGTATGTATGTGTGTGTGTTTACCTGGTGTATCTCCTGCCAGCCGTTCTCGTCCACACAGCCCACCTGAGCGTGGTCGTGGAGCAGTAGTTCACAGCAGTAGGGGTCTCCTCCTACCATAGAGCTGTGATAGAGCGGACTTAACCCTCGACTGTCTTTATAGTCAGGAGACGCACCCAGGTCCAGCAACGTCTGACAGAGAGAGAGAGAGAGAAAAGAGGAGAGAGAGAAAAGAGGAGAGAGAGAAAGTGAGAGAAAAGAGGAGAAAGTGAGAGAAAGAGTTAGAGAATACACACACATCAAATGCACACACTCACAGAGACAAGCCCTACAGAACCTATTAAAACCCATGTATGAAAACACTATATTTCCTTTGTCTGGTCTACATTTTCTCTAATTGGCTGCCGCACTCATGTAGATCAAGAAGAGGGTCATGGTCCATTAAGATGATGGGCTTCTCTCCACTACAGCTATAGCTCTCAAGATGAGAACAATTATATGAGTCATATCAGAGCCATCAGTAATGACACACATCCATTCACTGAGAACATGCCTATGCATGTGTGTGTGTGTGTGTGTGTGTGTGTGTGTGTGTGTGTGTGTGTGTGTGTGTGTGTGTGTGTGTGCACGCGTGTGTACTCACTATGAGCGCTGTATGGTTCTTGGTGCGGACAGCCTTGTGCAGGGCAGTGATGCCGTCTTGGGTCCTGAAGTCCAGGTGAGCTCCTCCACTCTTCAGCACCTTGATGAGCTCTGCACAGCCCTCCAGCTGAGACGCCATGGTCAGAGGACATTCTACAGCACACAGGGGCAGAGAGGAACCATGTTTAATATACAACAGGACAGCTTTCCAGTGTACACTGTGGATGGTACTGAGACAGAAGCATCTCTTCTGCATTAGAGTTGACTTTGTAGTGTGGTAGAGGAATGCAGTGGAGTGTAAATGCACATACATTGGCCCTCCCACCCTATGGATGACCTCAGATTAGATTAGATTAGATTGGAATCATGTTTTTAATCTCATCATATTCTCATTAGTAATGCTGTCCATCTCATGCCAGTTGATGAAGAAATATCTATTTGGTGCTTTCCTCCATCCTTCAAATGAAGGCCCTGAATATCCCATATCACATGAAACTATCAGAGTAGAGGTGTTAACCCCAGTATTCAATCTGGCAATCATTATATTATGGCCACCTAATCATCCCTAGTTTCCAACTGGCTTATTCATCCCTTCTCATCTCCCCTGCTACTCTTCCCCAGATCAATGCTGTAATGGAGAATGTTTTCTTAGTCAATTTAACCCATGAAAGTCTACACTATATATACAAAAATATGTGGGCACCCCTTCAAATTAGTGGATTCGGTTATTCAGCCACACCCGTTGCTGAAAGGTGTATAAAATCAAGCACACAGCCATGCAATCTCCATTGACAAACATTGGCATTAGATTGTTTTCAACGTGGCACCGTCAAATTTCTGCCCTGCTAGAGATGCCCCAGTCAACTGTGAGTGCTGTTATTGGGAAGTAGAAACGTCTAGGAGCAACAACAACTCAGCCGTGATGGATCACGCTTCACCATCTGGCAGTCCGACGGACGAATCTGGGTTTGGTGGATGCCAGGAGAACGCTACCTGCCCGAATGCATAGTGCCAACTGTAAAGTTTGGTGGAGGAGGAATAATGGTCTGGGGCTGTTTTTCATGGTTCGGGCTAGGCCCCTTAGTTCCAGTGATGGGAAATCTTAACGCTACAGCATACAATGATATTCTAGACGATTCTGTGCTTCCAACTTTGTGGCAACAGCTTGGGGAAGGCCCTTTCCTGTTTCAGCATGACAATGCCCCCGTGCACAAAGCGAGGTCCATACAGAAATGGTTTGTAATGATTGGTGTGGATGAACTTGACTGGCCTGCACAGAGTCCTGACCTCAACCCCATCGAACACCTTTGGGATGAATTGGAACACCGACTGAGAGCCAGGCCTAATCGCCCAAAATCAGTGCCCAACCTCACTAGTGCTCTTGTGGCTGAATGGAACCAAGTCCTCTCAGCACTGTTCCAACATCTAGTGGAAAGCCTTCCCAGAAGAGTGGAGGCTGTTATAGCCGCAAAAGGGGGACCAACTCCATATTAATGCCCATGATTTTGGAATGAGATGTTGGTGAGGTGTCCACATACTTTTGATCATGTAGTGTATAAGGAATTGTTTTAAAAAGGTGATACCAAGGATAATTTTGCTTTTTGATTTTGAATTTTACGACCCCTTGAAGTATCAAAAAAATATAGAAACAAAATATTTGGCATATTTTTGGCCTTACTGCTATTAGCCCATACAAACACATTGAATAACAGATTGACTACATGGAATAACAGATAGTCCCCTAAAATAAATCAAAAGGAAGTTTGTTCTGAAGTGTCTGTCCTATATCTGAGAGATATAAGAAAGATCAGGAAATATTATTAATATTATATATATATATTTCTTTTATGCATGTATTTAACCCCTTATTTTTGGCACTGAACAGTCTCCATATATACTTCCATTAAGTTTTTCAACTGGTACCGGGGGACCTCATGGTCTGACAAACACCGCTCTAGCTCTGTCACCTGTCACCATAGATGCGGAAGTGCGACATAGGCGGATGCGGTGGATTGAGACTCTTCCAATGCAACTAGATCTTCCAATGCAATCTCTACTTTAACTGACAGATTTTTATGGGGATTTCTTTTTTAATGCTAAATAGATTTTGCAGGGGCGCGGACATCGACTGTAGGGTGTTAACTTGTAATATAAGGGTTAAACAAACATAAAGAATAACAATGACTATAGAATCCTTATTCTGTGCTTGAGTAGTCAATTGTTTGTATACAAATAAATCGAAACATTTTATTAAGAAGGCCTTCCCCTTTAAATGTCTCTGATTAGAGTGATAAAGGAAGGGGAAAAAAAGTCTAGTTCCATTTCCAGATGAATCCACTCTCGTGCCTTTCAAGTGATTCATTTAAGAAGACAAATTCCGTGCCTTTGAGGGCCTTGTCAGTGAAATTACTTTGTGTGATAAACATGATGGAGTTGGTGTTTATCAAAACCAGACAGAGACAGATAAGATCATTTGAATAAGCTGTGTATTGTTAGGGCAAAAACCAAAACGTGCTTCCCTTGGGGTCCCGAGGACCGAGTTTGGGAAACTCTGGTTTAGTATATTCACAAACACGTGCACACACAGACAACGAACCTAGCATTTCAAACAAAATTAACAAAATTATATTGTAATTTATTTTCCATTTGTTTGTTCTCTCTCTCTCTCTCTCGCTCTCTGTCTGTCTGTCTCTCTCTCTCTCTGTCTCTCTCTCTCTCTCAGAGGTCACCCCACTGGAGGCTCTCAACAAATGGCTGTACAAACATTTGCATAAACATGAGGAGATTAGCATGAAAAATAATCCAGCTTTACCCTAGCACGCATTGGTATGGTGCAGAAACGGCTGGACGGAAATCGCTCAGCAGGCAGCCAACCAGAATAATCACAGCCGAGCTTGTTATCTACCTCTATCTGTCCGTCTAAGTGTCTACCTCCATCTCTGTATCTGTCTGTCTGTCTGTCTGTCTGTCTGTCTGTCTGTCTGTCTGTCTGTCTGTCTGTCTGTCTGTCTGTCTGTCTGTCTGTCTGTCTGTCTGTCTGTCTGTTTCTGTATCCATCAGTCAGTCAGTCAGTCAGTCTGTCTGTCTGTCTGTCTGTCTGTCTGTCTGTCTGTCTGTCTGTCTGTCTGTCTGTCTGTCTGTCTGTCTGTCTGTCTGTCTGTCTGTCTGTCTGTCTGTCTGTCTCTGTAGTGGTATGTCTGTATAATATCTCTGTATGTCTGTATGTCTCTATCTCTCCCCCTCTTTAACACTAGCAGAGACAAATGAGTTATCACTGTCATTTTTAAAGTCATGCCCCCTTCCGTCCTTGACATTTGCAGGGACGTTTTTTGCATCTAATCAATCATTTCTATTCATGTTTTGTTTGATCTAAATTAACTTTGCAGGTGTCTTTGATTCCATCATTTCCAGGGTGTCACGTCCCATTGACCTGCTGGAGGGACATTATCCCCGAAGAGTCGCATTTACCCCCTTTCCATGGCGGAGACTGAGGCTATGGAGAAGTATGTGGCGGAGACCCAGAACCAGGGGTTCATCAGATGCTCTACCTCTCCTGCCTCCGCCAGCTTCTCCTTTGTGGCCAAAAACAACAGCGGACTGAGACCATGCATTGACTACAGGGGGCTGAACGCAGTCAACCCCAAGTACCGGTACCCCCTCCCTCTGGTTCCGTTGGCCATCGAGCAGCTACGAGGGGCCTGGTACTTTACCAAGTTGGACCTGAGGAGTGCCTACAACCGGATCCGAATCCGGGAAGGAGACACGTGGAAGACGGCATTCAGCACTACCTCAGGCCACTACGAATACTGCGTCATTACCCTACGGCCTCGCCAACGCACCTTCTGTGTTCCAGTCCTTCGTCAATGACGTGTTCTGAGACATGCTGAGTAGACAGGTGGTGGTGTACATCGACGATATCCTGATCTACTCGGCTACGTTCAAGGAGCACGTCAGGGATGTCCGAGCTGTCCTACTCTGCCTCCAGGAACACAGCCTGTTGGTAAAGGGGGAGAAATGCAAATTCCACGAACAGGCCATCTCCTTCCTGGGATACAGGATCAGTCCTCGGGGTGTTCATGGAAAGAGAGACGACGGATGCCATCAGGTCATGGCCAGTCCCCACCACCATCAAGGGCCTTCAGAGCTTCCTGGGTTTCGCCAATTTCTACTGGCGTTTCATCAGGTCCTTCAGCTCCATAGCCGCCCCGCTCACCTCTCTCCTTAAGGGTGGGCCTGCAACCCTGAGGCTGACGCTGCCTTCAAGAGGCTGAAGGAGAGGTTCACCACAGCGGCCATCCTAAAACACCCACATCTATCTCGTCCTTTCATCCTGGAGGTGGACGCATCGGAGGAGGGCGTGGGTGCGATCCTCTCCCAGCGGCACGGTAAGCCAGAGAAAATGTATCCCTGTGCATTTTGCTCTAAAAAGCTTACCCCCGCAGAGAGGAACAATGGACACTGGCTGGAGGGCGCAGTCCATCCATTCCGGATTCTTACTGACCACCGGAATTTGGAGCACATACGGGCAGCGAAACGGATGAACTCTCGTCAAGCCAGGTGGGCCCAATTTCTTACTCGCTTTCAATTCATTCTGTCCTACCGCCCAGGATCCTAGAATGTGAAAGCCGTCACACTCTCCAGGATGCACCATACCGGAGAGAGGAAGGATCTGGGGGGTCCTATCCTGCCCTCGTCTCATCGCTGTACCTGTCGTTTGGGATGTGGACGAAGACATCCGCCTGGCGGCTCAGGAGGACCCAGCGCCTGCCAACGCCCCTCCGAGGTGCGTGTATGTACCCACCAGTGTCCGTGACCGCCTGCTGATCTGGGCGCACACCACCCTTACGGCAGGGCACTCTGTTATTACGCGCACCCTGCATTCTCTAGCACAAAAATACTGGTGGGCCACCTTGGCTTCTGATGTCTCTCGCTATGTCAACTCCTGTTCCGTATGTGCCCAAACGAAAACACCTCGGAACGCCCCGGCAGGCAAACTAGTTCCTCTATCAGTGACTCAGCGAGCTTGGTCACATCTGTCCATCGACTTTGTCACCGACCACCCACGTTCTGACAGCTTCACCACAGTCATGGTGGTCGTAGATCGGTTCTCAAAATCATGTCGTTTTTGCCACTAACTGGTCTTCCTTCTGCTCTCCAGGTCGCTGAGGTCCTGTTCCAACAGGTCTTCCGACGGAGGACATCGTCTCGGACCGTGGCCCCCAATTCACCTCCCGAGTGTGGAAAGCTTTCCTGGAGAGGATTGGGGCCACGGCCAGCCTCACTTCCGGGTATAGGACTAATGGGCAGGTGGAGCGCATGAACCAGGAGCTGGGGAGGTTTCTTCATTGCTACTGTCAGGACCGGCAGGGTGAGTGGGCGAGTTTTCTTCCCTGGGCAGAATATGCCCAGAACTTCCTTGTTCACTCCTCCACGGGGCTCACTCCATTCTAATGCATCCTGGGGTACCAGCCGGCCCTGGCCCCTTGGACACCTAGCCAGACCGATGCGCCCGCTGTCGACGAGTGGTTCCACAGGACCGGAAATGTCTGGGATGCCACCCATGTCTGTCTCCAGAGGGCCATTCGTCGGCAGAAGGACCAAGCTGACCGCCACCGCAGTGAGGCTCCCGTATTCCAGCCTGGTGATTGCGTCTGGCTGTCCACTCGAAACCTCCCTCTCAGCCTGTCCTGTAATAATCTGAGCCCCCGGTTTGTGGGGCCGTTTAAGGTCCTACGGCGGATTAATGAGGTGTCGTACCGTCTGCTCCTTCCCCATTCACTACAGTGTCTCACCTATTTTTCATGTGTCTCTCCTCAGGCTGGTGGTTCCAGGTCCTCTGGCGGATGCCGTCCCCCGGGGTATGCCCCCTCCGCCCCTGGACATTGACGGGAGTCCGGCATATGCTGTGAGGGATCTGCTGGACTCAAGGTTCCATGGGGGACGGCTCCTTTACCTGATGGACTGGGAGGGGTATGGCCCTGAGGAGAGGGGCTGGGTTCCGGCTGGGGACATTCTGGACCCCAACCTAATTCGGGACTTCCACCGTCGCCGCCCTGACCGGCCCGCTTCTCGTCATCGTCCTCCTGGCTGGTGACGTCCTGCGGCCGGAACCGCGCGTCCGGGGGTGGGGTACTGTCACGTCTCTTCCCGTTGCTCCCCTCCGGCGCTCTGATTCGCCGGTCTACTGAGCCACCGGTCTGAGCGCACCACCTCGGCAAACACAGGAAGGGAAACCCAACGCACCCTAATCACCTCCAGCGCACCTGCACCTCATCATCTCATCACCACCACTATATGGCCCTGGACTGTTAGTTCATTGTTGTGTGTAATTGTTAGCGTCGTGTCGCTTACTCTCTCTTTGTTATTCTCTTTCTCATTATTAAGTAAACCTTTACCTTGTTAATTCCTGCGTCTGCGTCCTGCCTCATTTTTAAATCTTGCGTACTTACAAAATACACCCCAAAATATGCGTGCCTCAGTGTTCCCGCAAAATGTGTCATTTATAAAAACTGAAATTGCCTTGAGAATTTCCTTTCATCCACGCAAACTTTAGACCGTGCGTATGCACATTTTCTAGGGAGTGTTGTATTGCAAGTACGTTTTTTTGCAAATGGTGGATATGATGAGAAGCTTATTCATAAAAACATAACAACAAGATTCAGAGAAGAGTGTAAATCTGTTTGTTTTATTTTTGGAATAATTTCTTATTTCTTTTCATAATCATTGTAGAATTAAATTCCTAATCTTTTCTAGCCGTGATGGGTTCATATTCCAGAAGTAGCCATACAACAAATTACCATGCGCATCACTCATTTAATAGGAACTATAGTAGCAAAGTAAATAGATAGGCTATGTATTTAAAGTTTTGCTGTACGCGATCCCATAGGCAGCACGGTTTTTAGCCTACAGTCGAATTTAACTTGAACATCAGTTGATCTTTTACTTTTAGTATGTATGCTACTACTGTATGTAGCCTATTGTAATTTCAAAAAGCCAAACAACGTTTCAGAATTCACGGGTAGTTGAATTCAAATGTTCTGCTGACAGATCCACAACAATATATCATTGTTTTCTCTTCCAGAAACTGTCACAGTCCTTTTCCAGATACAGCATAAAATACTGCAAAAGATTCAAACATTCTGCCAACACAGTCAATAGACCGGCAGCTTATGTAAAATATTTGACAATATGGGCCGGCTACAGTATTGCGGTGCAATATAGGAGCGCAACATCATAGCATATTTAGCCTAATCTCAGAGCCTATACCAGCAGGACAAAAAAACACAAAAATATATTGATAAACTAAATATTGAACAACAATTTGTCTTTTGCATAGAAGTGTGGTCTGTAGCATTTAGCCTACTTTTAAATTGTTTTGAATATAGGCTACAATCAATCTTGCAGAATGCGCGGACAGGCACTCGCTATAGGCAACATGCATGTTTAGTTTGAAAAAGTCACTGCAAAATATAAAAACATTCTGCCCACACCTCTACAAAAAATTTGATCAAATTTGCCATTGCTCTTTCTTTTAGAAACTGCCGTGGCCTAATTCCAATAGTTCCAAATTATAAAGGGTGTTATTGTCACCATAAAAGGTGAATGGAGGGCGTTTTCCAGGCGGAGTTATAATGCTCGTTCACGTGTGCACAGTTTTATGACAGGTTTATAATGGGAAAATGGGGGCCCGCGCCAAATGTATGTATAACAAAAATGACATGTATTATTTTGAGGAATGGCGCATGGTTGATATTTAGTGTAAAATGTACGTAACAGTTATAAATGAGATGCAACATGCTCCTCACCTCCCGATTCAGGGTCATGGAAGTTGGGGTCCAGACCTTTCTCCAGGAACCTGGACACCTTCTCAATGTTCCTCTGCTGAACATACTCCATAAACTTCTTCAGGTTCGCCTGGAGACAGACAGAGAGAGAGTCCGTGTCATTCATCTAGTATCAAAAACATATTTAAATGTATTTCATGCGAATTGAATTAAATATTGAGGAGGGGTGAGAGGTGGAGAGTTTGAGAGAGAGAGATAGAGAGATAGAGAGAGAGATAGAGAGAGAGAGAGAGAGAGAGAGAGAGAGAGAGAGAGAGAGAGAGAGAGAGAGAGAGAGAGAGAGAGAGAGAGAGAGATAAAGAGATAAAGAGAGAGAGGAGGCAGGAGACAAAAGCGATAGTTAGAGAGGAAGATAAGTAGTGGATAGGGCGGATGCATCAGGGAAGGAGGGGAGAGAAAAAAGAGAGGCAGTGAGAGAGAGCAAGCGAAAGACAGTTATGGAGATATAGAGAAAGAGGAAAAATTGAGGGAGAGAGAACTATGTGATTGGGTGATGAAACACTCATGTGGATAGACTCTGTGATTGGGTGATGTAACACTCATGTGGATAGAGATGTTTAATAATGGAGGTGAGAGATGAAAGCTGAAGCACACTGCCGTGTGTGTGTGTGTGTGTGTGTGTGTGTGTGTGTGTGTGTGTGTGTGTGTGTGTGTGTGTGTGTGTGTGTGTGTGTGTGTGTGTGTGTGTGCATCCAAGTGGAAGATTTAGGTGGATACAGTAGTGCATTAGGCACCGTTGGGTAGAAAGCAAAATTCCATCTCTACTGTACTTCCAGCAGCAAAAAAACTAACTCCTTTCACCCAAAACAGAATACAGTACAGAGCACTTCTCTTTACAGGATCAGACCATTTTCCCCAGGCCATTTCCTGTAACCAACTAGTTCCTATACAGTGCATTGTTAGTAAAGGATTGTTTCTGTCCAACCGTTTTCAACCACTAAGCAGTTGATTCTTACTGGATTGTTTTGAGTAAAGGACACTATAAAGACAGCACTCAGGATTGGGGTCAAGTCCATTTCAATTCAATAAATTCAGTAGGTTAACTGAAATGTAAAGGTCCAATGCAGCTGTTTTTATGGTAAAAAAATAAACAAAGATAGTTTCTTAGCAAAGAACAATTTCTCAAACAAGAATTTTGCTAGGACTGTCTGGGAGTGGTCTGAGTGGGGAAGGGGAAAACAGAAAATCTGCTGTTATTTCCAGAGATGTCACCAGGCAGGCCAAAACTCCATCCCACCAAAACTGGCTGAAATTTCAGGCGTTTTTTTCAAACAGTTCTTGCACTAAAAGGGCATTATCATAATATTCCCAATTTCACAGTACTATTCCAATCTCATAGTGTGGAAATATATATAAAACACAGGAAAATCACGTTTTTGACTGCACTGGGCCTTTAACATACAGTACAAAATGGAAAACACACAGGTGTAAGGTAGATCGGGTGTGTGTACAGCCATTGGTTATTGAGAGAAGAGAAGTTCAGGTCTTTCCTCTCAATATTCAGTTGTGTATTACAATTCCACACCAAAGAGGGAATGTGGGATATATTTATCTCTGTATCCTCATTGCAGTGAAGTGTGTCAACCAATACAGATGACTATCTCACTTAGCTATTTAGAGAGTGAATAAGCATAGATACACATCTGCATCTGCTGTACAAAGCTGGAGAGCTCATTCATAAAATAACACCATGCACACACACACGCACGTACACTCATATCTGTTATTGGTTGATTTGGTAATGTATTTTTTCTTCACTCTTAAAGGAAAGATTCACCCATTTTGAATGTTATATTATTTTTGTGCATCTCTGAGTGATGTTCTATCTATTCCCAGGGTCATTTCATGTTTTGATGTGTATCTGAGGTGTTCACCGTTTAAGCAGAAATACAGCCGGTATGACGAGTTTTGCATCATATGACTTTCACACCAATTGCGAAATATCATCCTGCCGCAATCCGTCAAATATTTATTCGGAACAAGTTTGATTTATGTGGGGGTTTTGCATGCGAAAATAGGCTGTTGACCAATAGAAAGTGTTCTCGGGGACACTTGTTCTGCCACTGACAGGCTGCACACTGACAGGTTCATTGTTTGAATGTATGAATCTGTTTCTCTCTGCCTGTTTAGTATGTTTGCAATGCGTCAGTGCAATGTAGCCTATCAATTCATCACCACTAGCCAATGTGATCACACCACACTCTTGCCATTCAAACTTCCCCGCCAGCTCATTGCCAACACTGTAGCCTATTTTATATTCAGCAAGCCAGAGCAAGGTCACCTACTCCTCTCCTCAAACAGGCCTATATTAGTTTTAAAGAAATTCTCAACATGTGACCAAACTATATTGCTTGACCAAACTATATTGCTATTCCTGGGACTCACATTGTTCTAGGTTACTTGTTCAAGAGCTGTATAAAGAGGAAGAGAGAGGGAAGAGAGAGAGCCCAGTGGAAATGCCAGCCAGTGGAGAACAACTGCCCCCTCTCATTGAAGCCACGGAAGTTCAAGGCCGACCGCGGTACTGCAGGCAGTGTTAGCAGAAAACAGAATCCCCCATTATAGTGGAATGGAAAAATGGCAATCTGTGTGGTCAATCTTTGTGTAAACAACAACAAAATCTAAGACAATTATGGTACCAATAATTGCTTCTAATACACCAGATATACAGTATGTCCTTGAACCGATTATTTTAAAATCGCACACAGAAGAAGTTACAAGGATAATTCAGTTGCTAATAGCAGCCTGCAGTACCCCGGTCAGCCTACAATGTCACTTCCTGGAGTAGCTCAAACTGTGAATGTATGGAGGTCTATGAGAGCGTGTCGAATTACGTGAGGCTTATTTGATCTAATAGAAGTTTCGTAATGTTTAGGCTGTTTCAAATGTACTGATATAAGTGGATGCATAGCATTCCGGCAACTTTGAGAAAAATGACTTAGTTGTGCCTGTTGTTCACGCATATCTGCCCTCTCATTGGCTAGAATAGTCCCACCTGATCTCTCCTGCCTTCAACCTTTGAGAAAATGTATTTCCATTGTTAGAGCGGTCACTCTGCTATCTTGAAATATAATAAATAATCTTTGGCTATGTCAACATGAGACACCATCTTAACTGACTTCATTTGGCTTCAATGCGCTATTGAGTCTTCATATAGGAATGAATGGTGTCATGTGATCAATGGCTTTGTCCATTCATATACAGTCACTGATGCCAGCTGAGATTTGTGAATTGCACAAGAAGGAAACCAAGAAGAAAGAGAGATGTGTAAATTAGAAACTAATATATAGGCCTATATTAATCAATTTGTATGCTGGCCTATACAGTGCATTCGGAAAGTATTCAGACCCCTTGACATTTTCCACATTTTATTATGTTACAGCCTTATTCTAAAATTGATGAAATTGCTTTTTTACCTCATTAATCTGCACAGAATACCCCATAATGACAAAGCATTTTTTTTTTGTAAATGTATAAAATAAAATAAACTGAAATATCACATTTACGTAACTATTCAGACCCTTTACTCAGTACTTTGTTGAAGCACCTTTGGCAGCGATTACAGCCTCAAGTCTTCTTGGGTATGACGCTACAAGCTTGGCACAGCTGTATTTGTGGAGTTTCTCCCATTCTTCTCTGTCAGGTTGGATGTGGAGCAACGCTGCACAGCTATTTTCAGGTCTCTCCAGAGATGTTCGATCGGTTTCAAGTCCAGGCTCTGGCTGAGCCACTCAAGGACATTCAGAGACTTGTCCCGAAGCCACTCCTGCGTTGTCTTGGCTGTGTGCTTAGTGTTGTTGTCCTGTTTGAAGGTGAACCTTCGCCCCAGTCTGAGTTCCTGAGAGCTCTGGAGCAGGATTTCATCAAGAATCTCTCTGTACTTTACTCTGTTCATCTTTCCCTCGATCCTGACAAGTCTCCCAGTCCCTGCCACTGAAAAACATCCCCACTGCATGATGCTGCCACCACCATGCTTCATCGTAGGGATGATGCCAGGTTTCATCAGACCAGAGAATCTTGTTTCTCATGGTTTTAGTCCTTTTGGTGCCTTTTGGCAAACTCCAAGCGGGCTGTCATGTACGTTTTACTTAGGAGTGGCTTCCATCTGCCCACTTTACCATAAAGGCCTGATTGGTGCAGTGCTGCAGAGATGGTTGCCCTTCTGGAAGGTTCTCCATCTCCACAGAGGAACTTTGGAGCTCTGTCAGAGTGACCATCGGGTTCTTGGTCACCTCCCTGACTAAGGCCTTTCTCCCCCAATAGCTCAGTTTGGCTGGGCGGCCAGCTCTAGGAAGAGTCTTGGTGGTTCCAAACATCTTCTATTTAAGAATGATGGAGGCCAAGGGGTTCTTGGGGACCTTCAATGCTGTAGAAATGTTATGGTACCCTTCCCTAGATCTGTGCTTCGACACAATCCTGTCTCGGAGCTCTATGGACAATTCCTTCGATCTCATGGCTTGGTTCAGCTGTGGGACCTTATATAGACAGGTGTGTGCCTTTCCAAATTGTATAGCCCGTGCATTCGGAAAGTATTCAGACCCCTTGACTTTTTCCACATTTTGTTACGTTACAGACTTATTCTAAAAATGATTAAATAAAACATTTTCCTCATCAATCTACACACAATACCCCATAATGACAAAGTGAAAACATTTTTTTTTTTTTACTCTGGAGCTCTGTCAGAGTGACTATCAGGTTCTTGTTCACCTCCCTGACCAATATAATCAATTTTAGAATAAGGGCGTAACGTAACAAAATGTGGAAAACGTCAAGGAGTCTGAATACTTTCCAACCTTCCAACAGGACAACAACCCTAAGCACACAGCCAAGACAACGCAGGAGTGGCTTCGGGACAAGTCTCTGAATGTCCTTGAGTGGCCCAGCCAGAGCCCGGACTTGAACCCGATCGAACATCTCTGGAGAGACCTGAAAATAGCTGTGCAGCAATGCTCCCCATCCAACCTGACGGCGCTTGAGAGGATCTGCACAGAAGAATGGGAGAAATTCCCCAAATACAGGTGTGCCAGGCTTATAGCGTCATACCCAAGAAGACTTGAGGCTGTAATCGCTGCCAAAGGTGCTTCAACAAAGTACTGAGTAAAGGGTCTGGATATGTATGTAAATGTGATATTTCAGTTTTTTTATTTTTTTAAAATATATTTGCAAACATTTCTAAAAACCTGTTTTTGCTTTGTCATTATAGGGTATTGTGTGTAGGTTGATGAGGGGAAAAAACAATTTAATCAATTTTAGAATATGGCTGTAATGTAACAGAATGTGGAAAAAGTCAAGGGGTCTGAATACTTTCCGAATGAATACTTTTGTAACAATGCAAAACATACACATACACATTGTAATACTTCTGTCAGCCAACTTTCTAACACAGCCCATAACTTTTGGACTTCCCAGAAGGCATGGATTATTGAGTCATTGTTCGTTTTACACTTAAGACATGACTGCCAATGTGCTGTAGAATTTGTGAATTGTGTCTCTTGTATAATACATTCTATACATTAGTTTATACTGGATTAAGTGTACATTTTCGTTAACTGTAATTTTGTTAGTTATGTTCCAACATTCCCTCCATCTTGTACACTGTAGTATTTTTTTATGTGGGTTTGGCAAACTCTCTAGCCACTTTGAACAACATATTGCCACTGAGAATCAACGCAACTGAAGCAGCGTTTGTGGTGTTCTGAGAATATTTTTGTGAAAAGTGGGGAAAAGACACATCGGTGTGAATTCGGATGATAAAAACTAAACGCAGTTGGTGAGAAATGGCCATTAAATTTTACATATTTTCCATCTCTGCATCCTAGTTGGGATTCAAACTCAGTTCCAAGTGATCCAACTGTAGAATGTAGAACAGCATAATCTGGACTTTTAGAATGTAGAACCATAGAATATAGGTTGTTTCAATAAAACATCACAATACGTTAGATTTGGCTGCTGGGGGGCAAGGAGACCCCCAGCTCCGCTAAAACCATTGACAACTATGTGCTGGTGGGCTGCTAATATATGAGAGCAGGCTGGCCATTTTCAAGGGATTGTTAAATAAATGTTCTAACTATTTGGTTTTAATATCATCAACTATTGAGCATAGTCAAAACCACAAATGTCAGATTATTACATGCAAAACAATTGCGCACATTTAGCTCTATTATCAGAGTTATACAGCAAGTAAATACATGCTTTTCATGATCATTAAATATCAATGATCATGTAATTTTAGATACGTGAAGGTACCAACTATTTGGCATGTACAGTTGAAGTCGGAAGTTTACGTACACCTTAGCCAAATACATTTAAACTCAGTTTTTCACAATTCCTGACATTTAATCCTAGTAAAAATTCCCTGTCTTAGGTCAGTTAGGATCACCACTTTATTTTAAGAATGTGAAATGTCAGAATAATAGTAGAGAGAATTATTTATTTCAGCTTTTATTTCTTTCATCACATTCCCAGTGGGTCAGAAGTTTACATACACTCAATTAGTATTTGGTAGCATTGCCTTTATATTGTTTAACTTGGGTCAAACGTTTTGGGTAGCCTTCCACAAGCTTCCCACAACAAGTTAGGTGAATTTTGGCCCATTCCTCCTGACAGAGCTGGTGTAACTGAGTCATGTTTGTAGGCCTCCTTGCTCGCACACGCCTTTCTCAGTTCTGCCCACAAATGTTCTATAGGTATGAAGTCAGGGCTTTGTGATGGCCACTCCAATACCTTGACTTTGTTGACCTTAAGCCATTTTTCCACAACTTTGGAAGTATGATTGGGGTCATTGTCCATTTGGAAAACCCATTTGCGACCAAGTTTTTACTTCCTGACTGATGTCTTGAGATGTTGCTTCAATATATCCACATAATTTTCCTTCCTCATGATGCCATCTATTTTGTGAAGTGGACCAGTCCCTCCTGCAGCAAAGCACCCCCACATCATGATGCTGCCACCCCCGTGCTTCAAACCGTAGTCTAGCTTTTTTATTGGCGGTTTTGGAGCAATGGCTTCTTCCTTGCTGAGCAGCATTTCAGGTTATGTCGATATAGGACTCGTTTTTACTGTGGATATAGGTACTTTTGTACGTGTTTCCTCCAGCATCTTCACAAGGTCCTTTGCTGTTGTTCTGGGATTGATTTGCACTTTTCGCACCAAAGTACGTTGATCTCTAGGAGACAGAATGCGTCTCCTTCCTGAGCGGTATGACGGCTGCGTGGTCCCATGGTGTTTATACTTGTGTACTATTGTTTGTACAGATGAAAGTGGTACCTTCAGGCGTTTGGAAATTGCTCCCAAGAATGAACCAGACATGTGGACGTCTACCATTTTTTTCTTGGCTGATTTCTTTTGATTTTCCCATGATGTCAAGCAAAGAGGCACAGAGTTTGAAGGTAGGCCTTGAAATACATCCACAGGTACACCTCCAATTGACTCAAATTATGTCAATTAGCCTATCAGAAGCTTCTAAAGCCATTTTTTTTGGAACTGTTTAAAGGCACAGTCAACTTTTTTTAGTGTATGTAAACTTCTGACCAACTGGAATTGTGATGCAGTGAATTATAAGTGAAATAATCTGTCTGTAAACAATTGTTGGAAAAATTACTTGTGTAATGCACAAAGTAGATGTCCTAACCGACTTGCCAAAACTATAGTTTGTTAACAAGACATTTGTGGAGTGGTTGAAAAACGAGTCTATGTAAACTTCTGACTTCAACTGTATGTGGATCCAAATGCTGAAAGCATTGCACATGCAACCTTCTTCAGACTGTCCAATTTCACTGGCAGACTGTTCCGACTTCAACTGTAGCTAGTTAAACAAACAAGATAATTTAGCTTGCTTCATCAGAGATTAGGCTTTTGGAAAGAGCTTGATATTGGCAAGTCCTCGTCATAGTAAAGTCGTCAGTCAGACTACTCTAATCACCACTATAGATGGCAAGCAAATCAAACAATATTTGGATATAGTCATCTACAGTGAGGGAAAAAGGTATTTGATCCCCTGCTGATTTTGTACGTTTGCCCACTGACAAAGACATGATCAGTCTATAATTTTAAGGGTAGGTTTATTTGAACAGTGAGATACAGAATAACAACAAAAAAATCCAGAAAAAACGCATGTAAAAAATGTTATAAATTGATTTGCATTTTAATTAGGGAAATAAGTATTTGACCCCTCTGCAAAACATGACTTGTAGTTGTTGGCAAAACCCTTGTTGGCAATCACAGAGGTCAGACGTTTCTTGTAGTTGGCCACCAGGATTGCATACATCTCAGGAGGGATTTTGTTCCACTCCTCTTTGCAGATCTTCTCCAAGTCATTAAGGTTTCGAGGCTGACATTTGGCAACTCGAACCTTCAGCTCCCTCCACAGATTTTCTATGGGATTAAGGTCTGGAGACTGGCTAGGCCACTCCAGGACCTTAATTTGCTTCTTCTTGAGCCACTCCTTTGTTGCCTTGACCGTGTGTTTTGGGTCATTGTTATGCTGGAATACCCATCCACGACCCATTTTAAATGCCCTGGCTGAGGGAAGGAGGTTCTCACCCAAGATTTGACGGTAGATGGCCCCGTCCATCGTCCCTTTGATGCGGTGAAGTTGTCCTGTCCCTTAGCTGAAAACCACCCCCAAAGCATATTGTTTCCACCTCCATGTTTGACGGTGGGGATGGTGTTCTTGGGGTCATAGGCAGCATTCCTCCTCCTCCAAACACGGCGAGTTGAGTTGATGCCAAAGAGCTCGATTTTGGTCTCATCTGACCACAACACTTTCAGCCAGTTCTCCTCTGAATCATTCAGATGTTCATTGGCAAACTTCAGACGGGCCTGTATATGTGCTTTCTTGAGCAGGGGGACCTTGCGGCCGCTGCAGGATTTCAGTCCTTCACGGCGTAGTGTGTTAACAATAGTTTTCTTGGTGAATATGGTCCCAGCTGCCTTGAGATCATTGACAAGATCCTCCCGTGTAGTTCTGGGCTGATTCCTCACCGTTTTCATGATCATTGCAACTCCACGAGGTGAGATCTTGCATGGAGCCCCAGGCCGAGGGAGATTGACAGTTCTTTTGTGTTTCTTCCATTTGTGAATAATCGCACCAACTGTTGTCACCTTCTCACCAAGCTGCTTGGCGATGGTCTTGTAGCCCATTCCAGCCTTGTGTAGGTCTACAATCTTGTTCCTGACATCCTTGGAGAGCTCTTTGGTCTTGGCCATGGTGGAGAGTTTGGAATCTGATTGATTGATTGCTTCTGTGGACAGGTGTCTTTTATACAGGTAACAAGCTGAGATTAGGAGCACTCCCTTTAAGAGTGTGCTCCTAATCTCAGCTCGTTACCTGTATAAAAGATACCTGGTAGCCAGAAATCTTTCTGATTGAGAGGGGGTCAAATACTTATTTCCTTCATTAAAATGCAAATCAATTCATAACATTTTTGACATGTGTTTTTCTGGATTCTTTTGTTATTATTCTGTCTCTCACTGTTCAAATAAACCTACCATTAAAATTATAGACTGATCATTTCTTTGTCAGTGGGCAAACGTACAAAATCAGCAGGGGATCAAATACTTATTTCCCTCACTGTAGTTTATCCCCTAAAAGTTCGCTTGTAAGCATTTCACGGTAAGGTCTACACCTGTTGTATTCGGCGCATCTGACAAATACATTTGATTTGTTAACTAACCATATTGATGTGACTTGTTATTAGCTAGCTAGCCAATTTGACGTGGTCATCAATAAATGTAGCCTATAGCCTATTTCATGTCTGTCAGCAGCAATCATAATTAAACACTCTTAAAAACAAAGGGGATCATGTTAGCTAACTTCACTAGGTAGGCCTACATGGGTTGGAGATATTCATATCAGAGTAATTTTGTGCCACGGTTGTGATGCACTTGCCCCCACCCCTATAAATACCTGGGCACGTAGCATCACTTCTCGAGACTCTTCCCGAGGCTACAAAGGAACTGACAGCTGGACTAGCATAGTCCCTAGCTCATAGAACCTTCATTCTATTTTGCTTGAGGGACTATCCTGTAAGACACAGCCTAGATCAACACTTCACTATAGGTGCTCGAGGCAGTACCCGGCCCAACCACAGGTTACTGTTGGCAGGGAAGGGTAGCACCAAGCACAGCTGAGCTCACACCATGAGAGTCAACCACATTCACCCGGTAAAACCTTGCAAAGTTACTGGGTGACGCCCAGCTGGCAGCCGCGCATATGTCAGAGAGGGGGACTCCCTTAAGCAGACCCCAGGAGGTGCGCTACCACAGAGAATGGGGCTGGGCGGCAAGCTAGGCTGTATGCTTGCAATGTACATTTACATTTTAGTCATTTAGCAGACGCTCTTATCCAGAGCGACTTACATATATATATTTTTTTTATACTGGCCCCCTGTGGGAATCGAACCCACAACCCTGGCGTTGCAAACGCCATGCTCTATCAACTGAGCTACATCCCTGCCGGCCATTCCCTCCCCTACCCTGGACGACGCTGGGCCAATTGTGCGCAGCCCATGAGTCTCCCGGTCGCGGCCGGCTGCGACAGAGCCTGGATTCGAACCAGGATCTCTAGTGACACAGTTAGCACTGCGATGCAGTGCCTTAGACCACTGCGCCACAATGTGACAACCATTGTTTTGAGACAGGCTTACCCTGTATCTCCAAAGCACACAAACAGCTGATCAGAGCGACAGATCGCCTGAGTCCACTCCACATACACTTTTAGGGATCTCACAGGACACAGAGAGCATACATCAACATCCTGAGCCCCAGGGGGCATGGAGGTGGATTAGGCTGTTAGCACCATTTCCCTTTTCATGTGACCTGGGGTCAGGACCTTAGGTAGGAAAGGATTAGACTCTGCCCAGGCGTATCCCACCTGAAAGGAATTTCAGGGATTGGAATCTTGCCAGTGCATTCCTTGGACACAGTCAGGCGACAATACCTGTGTTCCTTGGGATGTAAACCTTGAGCATTGAACCACCTGTGCAGGGGTCTCAAGTGAAAAAGGCCCAATGGGGTCAAGAGAGAGGCTGCGGAGAGGAGACCCATCAGTCTCTGACACTGAAGAACAGTCACCTTCTGGTCTTGGACAAAATAATTGAGGTGATCTACAATTTTCTGGACTTCGGTGAGGCGAGCCCTCATTATAGACGAGTCTATCAACATGCCCACGAACGTCACAGTTTGTGTGGGGACCAGGTGGCTTTTCTGCAGTCCTAGCTCCGAGATGTGCTTCAGGAGAGATCGTGTCTGCTGCTGCCTGTTCTCGTGACTGAGCGCAGATTAGCCTATCGTCTAGGTAATTTAGTACCATCATCCCTTGTGATATTAGGGGTTCTAGTGTGGCATCCATGCATTTTGTGAATGTTGTTGGTGCCAGGGAGAGGCCTAAAGTTAACACTTGGTACTAGTACGCTATGCCGTTGAATGCAAAGCGCAGCCACCATCCCTCTTGGGGACTAGGAAATATACTCCATAGAACCCACTTTGCTGTTCTGATTGTTCGAGTTGTCTGATTGCATTCAGCAGGGAGGCAATCTCCAGTTGGAGAGCTTCTCTTTTCAGGGGGTCAGATGTTTTAGTTGACCAATCCCCTCTGAAAGGTGATTGCCGGCATCGGAACTGGAGTTTTTACCCCTGTAGTACTGTATCCATCACCAAGGGGGACTTCACAAGCTCTTCCCACTTTCCCGATAGGTGTGGGAGAAGTGGCCGATGCCGGGGCCACACCCATCAGGATTACTAAGGGGGCCCGTCCTTCTTCGGAGCAGAGGGATGATGCTTGTTATGCCCATGCCTGTGCTGGTGGTGGCCCCACTGCTGACTCGGAGCCTGTTGACGTGGCTGATCAGGGTATGGCTGGATTGGGGGAGGGCCCAAGCAGGCTTTCAAGGCAGGAGAGAGCTGAGGTCTAGACTGCAATGTACTCTGGGTAGGGTAACGCGGGGCAGGGGGACCCATGAAAGACTGCAGGGTCTCTCTGTCCTTCTGCAGCTTCGCCGTTTGGTCCAAAATGGCATCCACACCAGGACCAAAAACTTAGCCTGGGAAGATGGGCAGCTCCATAAAGGGTTTCTTCACGGAGGCAGACATCTTTGTCTGTGAAAGCTGTCTGCGTGACGAGATGACCGTAGACAGGGCTTTGCCATTAGCACGACCTCTCAGTGTTTAAGAGGGAGAGGAGTGTGGACACCTGATTCATTTCAGCCGTCAGGGTCACCGTTGGTGGACAGGCCAGCTATCAGACCGTGCCAGTATTCCTGCAGCAGAGTGGTTGCATTCATGAGGCGAGTCACCATGGCTAAGGTCAGGAAGGTGTCCTTTAAGTGGTTGTCCGGAGCCCGATGAAGTCCTGGAGGACAACGGGGAGACATGACACCTTGAGTTCACCTTAGCCCAAGTTTGTTGGAGTTCATTGGAGATCTTGGGGCACTGAGGAATGTACACTCTTTCCGGGCTGCTCTTAGGATCTGGATTAATATCCAGAGCTTTCAGAAACCTAGAGAGGTTCTGAACCAGCACCTGTATATCAGCAGATGAAGAGGGCACTTCACTCTCAGCCCTCTCTGAACCATGGTTTGCTGATCCAGAACCGGCCTCAGAGGTCTCTTTATCTAAGTCATTACCAGCAAAGATGGAGATAGCATCAGGATCCTTTCTTAAGTATTAGACGGAGCCTGGTGGGCTGAGAGAGCAGAACTGGGAAGACAAAGAGGCTGGCTGGGCCTCCAACTCATCCAGAGTAGGTCCCCTGTCCTTCTTGGACTGCTTGGTGGGCGGGCCCGCCGCTGAGGAGGGTTGTTTGCACTTGAGTCCACTCCCGGAGCCTCTAGCATTTGTCTCCTTCATCATAGCTAATCGCAGTTCAAATAGGCGTGGGCCAAGAGTTGCACAATACATGCAGCTGAAGGGGGAATCCACAGCCTAAATGGCATGCTCTCAGCCTAGGCACATCATACAGGTGGAATGGGCATCAGCCGAAGCCAGCATTGCATTTATCGCAGTAGGTTGCCTTTAGATAAACTTCTCCCTGTCTAGACAGAAGTAGAAATACAGATATGTCTTATAGAACGGATAATCTGTATAACACACCTTTAATACTATACCAGGTGTAAGTAGAAAGTAGTTCTGTTCTCAGGGCAATATGTGAATTAAGTAATAATATATTCTAAGGATACCAGAATGTATTCAGGAAATTCCACTTACAATCACCAAAAGGTATGGATGTGAGGAGCCAAACTCAACGGACACAGTGACAGACTATGTGTGAGGAGAGGTCCTGAGAACAGACCCGCCAAATCTCGCAAGATTAGTGAGGCGCTCGCCTTGAATCTCACACCGGCAACAGCTGCAGCTCGAGCCAGTAAGAGAGTATGCTAGCTAGGATGTTAAGGTGCTACTCGGCGATCACCATCCTACTTCTGGAGAGCAACAGTGTTTAGCTAGAGCTAGATAACACCCCTAGCCTGGTAGGCGCTGTACCCAGCCTCAATCTCCAGAGAGAAGAGACTAGCGTAGAACTGAAACAAACAAGCAACAGGTAACGCAATTAGCCGGCAGGCTAACCGATGGACAGACACAAAACCTCACCTATGGTGTCTTCATCCACTTCTCACTCACCTGCGTAGCCGAGGAAAGAAAAGAGGAAGTGATGCTACGCGCCCAGGTATTTATAGGGGGTGGGGGCAAGCACATCACACCCGTGACACAGAATTACTCTGATATTAATATCTTAACTCATCCTTCCGCCTTGCATAGCATACAGTGGCTTGTGAAAGTATTCACCCCCCTTGGCATTTTTCCTATGTTGCTGACTTACAACCTGGAATTAAGATGGATGTCTTGGGGGTGTGTATCATTTGATTTACACAACATGCCTACCACTTTGAAGATGCAAAATATGTTTTATTGTGAAACAAACAAGAAATAAGACAATTTGAGCGTGCATAACTATTCACATCCCACAGCATGATGCTGCCACCACCATGCTTCACTGTGGGGATGGTGTTCTCAGGGTGATGAGAGGTGTTGGGTTTATGCCAGACATAGCGTTTTCCTTGATGGCCAAAAAGCTCAATTTTAGTCTCATCTGACCAGAGTACCTTCTTCCATATGTTTGGGGAGTCTCCCACATGCCTTTTGGCGAACACCAAACGTGTTTGCTTATTTTTTTCTTTAAGCAATGGCTTTTTTCTGGCCACTCTTCCGTAAAGCCCAGCTCTGTGGAGTGTACGGCTTAAAGTGGTCCTATGGACAGATACTCCAATCTCCCTTGTGGAGCTTTACAGTCCTGTGTAGCTCAGTTGGTAGAGCATGGCACTTGCAACACCAGGGTTGTGGGTTCAACTCCCATGGGGGGCCAGTATGAAAATGTATGCACTCACTAACTGTAAGTTGCTCTGGATAAGAGCGTCTGCTAAATGACTAAAAATTTAAAGAAAATCTCCTTCAGGGTTATCTTTGTTGCCTCTTTGATTAATGCCCTCCTTGCCTGGTCCGTGAGTTTTGGTGGGCGGCCCTCTTTTGGCAGGTTTGTTGTGGTGCCATATTCTTTCCATTTTTTAATAATGGATTTAATGGTGCTCCGTGGGATGTTAAAAGTTTCTGATATTTTTTTTATAACCCAACCCTGATCTGTACTTCTCCACAACTTTGTCCCTGACCTGTTTGGAGAGCTCCTTGGTCTTCATGGTGCCGCTTGCTTCGTGGTGCCCCTTGCTTAATGGTGTTGCAGACTCTGGGGCTTTTCAGAACAGGTGTATATATTTGAGATCATTTGACAGATCATGTGACACTTAGATTGCACACAGGTGGACTTTATTTAACTAATTATGTGACTTCTGAAGGTAATTGGTTGCACCAGATCTTACTTAGGGGCTTCATAGCAAAGGGGGTGAATACATATGCACGCACCACTTTTCCTTGCCCCCCAGCAGGCAAAATCGAACACTCTACACCTTATTGTGACGTTTTATTGAAAACGACCAATAGAACTGCCCAACTAGGGATTTCGACCAGAACCTTTCTGGTCCCCACTGATCTAGCTCCATAGTACTACTGAAACAAAGGAAGTGTGAAAGCAAAACACCACAGCTGTATAAAGTACAATGTGAGGACAATGCATATTGAATACTTTGATCTAAATAAAAGGTTAGGGTGAATTCCATTTCTGAGTGATTCAATTAGCATTTTGTTTAATTTCTGAATTGAAATGGAAATTACCCCAACCCTGACCCACATCCTTATTAGCCTAATCAACCAACCTGTAAAATATTCTCAATCAATACTATTGCGTGGCGCAGTGGTCTAAGGCTATCCTGAGTCTATCCTGAGTGGCGCAGTGGTCTAAGGCACTGCATCGCAGTGCTAACTGTGCCACTAGAGATCCTGGTTCGAATCCAGGCTCTGTCGCAGCCGGCCGAGACCAGGAGACTCATGGGCGGTGCACAATTGGCCCAGCGTCGTCCAGGGTAGGGGAGGGAATGGCCGGCAGGGATGTAGCTCAGTTGATAGAGCATGGCGTTTGCAACGCCAGGGTTGTGGGTTCGATTCCCACGGGGGGCCAGTATAAAAAAATAATATATATATATGTATTCACTAACTGTAAGTCGCTCTGGATAAGAGCGTCTGCTAAATGACGTAAATGTAAATGTAAGTTGCGTATGCCGACTAGGGCGGCAGGTAGCTTAGTGGTTAAGAGCGTTGTGCCAGTAACCGAAAGGTCGCTGGTTCTAATCCCAGAGCCCACTAGGTGAAAAATCTGTCGATGGATAAGAGCGTCTGCTAAATGACCAATTATTTATTTACAGTTTCGGTGAACTAATGATTCCACTGTAGATTAGGGCGATGCCAAGACAACCCAAAAATATTTTGGGTATCTCAGATTGTTCTGGAAATTGTCACATAGAATAGAAACTTCATCGGGAGGAAGGATGTTTGACATGCTTTTTACATTTGTATCAAATTGTTGTTGAGAAAATCATGATGAAAGTGACCATTTTAGAACCTTTTGAGACCTATACATGCCTCCTGTAAGACCCTATGATCTGTGAACCGTACGTGATACAGACAACATCTTGGTGTCATTATACTGGATAAGAGCGTCTGCTAAATGACCAATTATTATTATTATTATTACTACTTATAATGTGCTCTAACATATGGAGTATGTCTAGATTCTGGCCAAAAAATTTCATATTCATGTATTCAACATTAAAATATTATCATGAATATCTCAAAAGTACTCTTTTTGATTTAGTTAATTTAAAGACAATTGTATTGCCGCAATACACTGTACAAGTACATTACATTCCCAGAGTGGGCTCTTTGCTAATTTTGAAGTGATGATAAATTTTTTGAGCACCACCAACACAGTGAATGGGAACATTGATTTAAAAGGAACTCCCTGTGCTGGTGATTTGCTGAATGTGCAATCCTAAAAGGCTGTAATTGGTTAATGACCTATAATGTCAATTTCTATGTTTAAAATGTGTCATATCTTCAAAAGTACAAGAGAGCCCACTCTGGAAATTTGATGTGTTTGAAGAGTATATTGTTCCAAACAATATGTAAAAACAATAAGCAAAATCATTGTTTTTATGTTAAATAAATTAATGTGAAAAATAAAATATCAGAATCGAGACATACTCCATATTTGAGAGCACAATATAAGTAGTATAATGACACCAAGATGTTGTCTGTATCATGTACGGTTCACAGATAATAGGGTCTTACAGGAGAAATATATAGGTCTAAAAAGGGTCTAAAACTACTTCCTCCCAATGAAGTTTCTATGAGAGAATTACCAGAAAAATCTGAGATACCCCAAATTATTTTGGTCTGTCTTGGCATGGAATAGCCCTTTAAATTCATTCCAGCTAATATCACGGAGGAATAGGAAATAGGTAATACAATATTGATACAGCATCTGAAATATTCAATACAGTATTAACACACATTATTGGAAGTAGTCAAGAAAATATGACATAACATAGCTTAGAGATAAAGATATGGTATAAAACATATCGGCTAAAGGAGAGGTAGAGCTGTGTTCAGTTATTCCCTTTTGTAACCCATCTGGCTAAAAGAGAGGTATCATTACTATTCTACCCTTTCAAGGTTTCTCTGTCTCACTTGCTACATAAACGTT